TCTAACTTTGGTTAGTTGTATATGTACAGATCGCTGACAATTTTTTTACAAATAAATATGAGACATACTGTATATACGTTATATACATGCTATATACATATAATATATACTATGTATACCTATAGATAAAAAAAGAAAAAAAGATAATAAGATCGAGATTTTACTAGGACAACTGGGACGGGTAGTCTAAAACTCTTTCATTCGCCTTGAAATTACCGGCAGGTATATTTTTTTCCGTCTTAACTTCCGTCCTAGAAAAAAAATCGTCCTAGTTGGAACTTCGAAAATATAGGTATCCTGCATACCACACACATATATATTAATATTCCTTTACCCCGGATGATCGAATCTCTGATTCCCGCCTTGTGCCATCTTCTCCAGCTTCTCCCGATAATAATGGTCCTGAGAACGATACTTACCAGCATGAGTTCTGCATGCTCCATATTTCGAAGATGTTAACACAACCATATTCTTTACATGGTATGCGGGTAGGAGAATCCCAGTGAATTGTACTACATAAGTTCGAAGATCGTTTCGAGATAATTTCCCAGGAACATAATATCCGGGCGTCTCCCCTTATTCCCTCCTTTTCTATTCGCACTGGCAATGCTTTGCTTTTCTGAAGTACTAACATTCAAACCCTTTTTATCGTGCAGACATGGAAGTTATTCACGCGATTAAAATTTGTGGGACGGGCCGACTTGAAAAAATGCCAAGAAAAATTTTCTGAATTTTAATTAACTACGCGACTGAATTTTGACGTATGCTCTTACATAGGAAAAAATTACATCGCATCTGTATCCTCTGAATTAGAATCACATTTCTGATCCAACGTGTGAAGAAAAAATGCTAGAAAAATGTTGCTTATAATATACGGGAAAAAAAACATATTTCATGGGCTTACATTGGCCTCGATAAAAGCATTGACTGCTTTGTGACTTTTGATGGTGATGACTTTGTTTGAATAATGTCACTAAACTTTCTTTTCAAAATCTGAACTTTGTCATTATCATGTTCTACTTTCACGGTACTTTCTGACTCCACCTTAATGACCATCTACATAATTAATTCAGAATGAATAACTGAAAAATCAAAAGATGTAAAAGATAAAGATAAACTTACTATGAATTCTAGTAATTTTAATATGCCCGCCTTCATCATATGAATCTTGCTCGAATGAGAAGCAACAGTGAAACTCCCAAACTCCTCATATACGTATACACCATCCTTCCACATAATTAACATCTTGATTTCGAACAAATATCCAAGTATACCAAATACAGCACGATTATTGTAGTTAACGTCCCCGATTTCCATTGCATATAATATGCGAACATTCAAACAATCTCTCAATTCTCGATATAATTTGAAAGAACTCGTAGAGAGCTTCGTAAGGTCAGGTTTAGTAGGAGGCCCTGCTTGCTCTCCGATAAAGATTTCTTCTCCCGTCTCCCAAGACCGGGCCAATAGATCGGCAAATTTTCCATCAACTACTTTATGTATTGCATGATCAAGTCCATGGTTTTTTCTGTATTTAGATGCAAATACGGGAACCTCCATGCTGAGAAGAATATAAGAATAAATTTCAAGATCTATTTGAAAATAATGATAAGATATTTCTATTTAAACCTAATACTTACGCTCGCCAATCCAGTCCTGCAAATTCTTGTAAAGCCTTAGAGAAAAAATGATGTCCGAACTCTGACCAATAGTGATGTTCAGTACTGTCTGGAGCACTAATGTCCGGAACAGGTTTAAAGAATGATTCGATTCTACAACACAAGATGAGACGTGGAATATTACAATAGGAAATGAAATGATAATAAAATCTTAACCAATACTTACAAAGGTAACATTACTCGATACAGGTACTTTTTAAGTCTCTTCACCTCCTCAGTATCTCCAACTTTGTCTACAATCAACGCATTTGTGATGCGAACCCAATCAGTAATGGTTTTCTTTGGACCGCCTTCAGTTAATGACTCCTACAAAATAACATAGCATATTAATATCTACAATAACTGTTTTGTAAACTTGTTAAACACGAGTCATACGATTACCATATAATATTCCTCTATAATTCTACACCAAGATTCCGGTAGCACGGCATTTCTTTTTGGTCGAACTGAAAGCAGTTTCGTATATTGATCGATTGTCAAAAATTTCGCGAAACCACTGTCACCTCGGATGCCCATAACATCGTCGTTGGTGCAACTATACATTGAGCAAAGGTTCACATAACATTATATGGTACCCTCTTTTAAAATAATGTAGTTCAAATACTTACGAGTACACATTATGTTTTTCCTGTTCTTTGTATTTTTCGAAAAGCGGAATAAATTCTCCGAAATACTGTTCAAAAAGAACCATTGAGCATTTTTCACACGTACCAACAGGTGAGTTCGAGCAATATCTTCAAAACAAATACCTTAACCCCAATCCAGACTTGCTAGACTCTCAGCAGAAGCTCTACAAATGCTTTCCCTGTTTGGGATTTTTGAGGATTGAGAGATAGCCGATTCGAAAGGGTTTCCAATGATTTGATGGGGTGGAGTTCGAGTTCCTTTTGCGTAATAAACAGGAACAGCTAAAATCTATGAATCAGATATCTGAATAAGCAACAAAAAAAAAAGCCTCCTTACCATCTTTCACGTCATTTCTACCTAATAGGCTGGGATAACAAGAATTATTGCAAGCTATACATATCTCAAAGAATTGCATTTTGTACTTACTCGCTTCGGGATCTTGCATGATTCTGATTCTCGATCTCATCATCAGTCTCTTCATGGGTCGTCTAAGAATACAAAATGATTGACAGATGCAGAATACAAGACACAATTAGGTGTAGTTTAAAAACAAAGTAACACATCATTACCATGGGGGATTTTGCACTATCATCGAGGTAGCCACGGTCTTCGTCACTTTCAGAGTCGTCCTCATCTGGCTGGTCCCGTCCGTATTACAAAGAGTAATCGATTAGAATTTTGTTAGTGGTCAAACTTGAAAACGTAGCCCACAACAATAAAACCCAATAACAGTTATCACCTTATGAGTTCTAGTACGTTTTTCTGTTTTTTCGTTATCATTATCGAGGAACCTCTTCGCGATGCTGGCGGTGGTTGACTTGGAGTATTGTTGAATTTGTTCTGTCGCTACTGTGGAAATGGTTATGTATTGGTTTGTCTGTGTACGGAAAATGGATCAAGAGTGAATGTTTTGGTCTAGCACGTTGGATTGTAGGAGAATGAGTGAAGTACCTGCAACTTCTGAACCTTCGCTTCTCAATCAACTTGTTCTTCATCATAATATTTTGGGTTTCATTATGAATCTTCCAAAATCTCTTTATTACTAATGACCGTTTACTATCCTATTAGTGATGATAAAACAAAAGTTCTAAGTGAATGTGCCTAATAATAGACTTTGTTTGGTAATTGTCATATCCACATCACGAACAAGCAAGCACCCAGGTAGTATCATTCAATTATTGAATATCTATCTTTCGCGAGCACCATGGGTCCCAAAGTTCATTAAGCATAGCTCACCAACAGACATGACAGTCGTTCCCACTACAAACACGACGGTTGCAGAGTAGTTAGTGTACTCAATGGTACAAAGAGTCTCAAGGTGGTTCGTGGAGCAACTCACCAACAGACATGACAGTCGTTCCCACTACAAACACGACGGTTTGAGGGTAGTTGGTGTACTCAGGTTTCTGATCCAATAAAATAATGCAATTGACTTTCCTTGAATTCATTTTTCCATTTTGATACTTGCTGGCCAAATGCTGATGCTTCGGCGTAAAATCTGCTGATGGTAGTTAGTTCATTATTATACCGAGTGTATTCAACTTTTGATTCTTCTAAGTCGCCAGCCGAAAGTCGAAAATCTAAAAATTTCTTGAGCGAAGGCACATCCGTGCTCTCCCAAAAGGCTACATAATCACAAATGATAGGTTATGTTATAAAGCATTGTCATAAGAAAACGGGTGTATACTTTGCCTTACCAGGATACTTCAAAGCAACAATGCACTCAGGAAGCAAGTGCATAATATCAAGCCAAGAAAATGAATATGTGAAAGTATGTTTTTTAACGAAAAAATTATTTTTATCATTTATGTACTACCCAAACTTATATATGATTGGTTAATCAAAAATTAATCAATCTCCATATCTATATTCCTCAAAATATCGTTCGCCTGTTCTACTTCTCCTACCAGAACTACTACCCGACATATACAGGCACATCGACTAGTAATAACCCTATTGTAAGAGATAGTTGGAAATACAATTGTAGAAGATGTTCACTGCTCAAAATACTTACGTTATAGTCTTTTACCAAACTTTGAAACTTTCCCTTGCATTGATATCCAGTATAAGTGGTATTAAATTGTCCATTGATCTTATTTGCGACGCTATTCCAAAAATCCTCTCTACTAATACCCACGATGTAGTAATATTCAACATTCCTTCGTCAATAAGTAAACGCAGATGATCATTGGTTCACATGATCCTTAGATCGTCCTTCAGGTTTACAATTTTGCTATGACTAAACTGCGTTTTAATCATGATGTATATAGATTTTATAGGAAAATTTCTACTGAGATTATCCATTATAAAACCACAATAATACTATGATAACAAATTTTATTCACGAAGATATATTTTATATATTTAATTATCATGAGTGATTATATAATATATATATGCGATTTATACATAAATACAGTTATAAATAAATTCTCGCTATAATCCAATATGCATCTCTCCTATTTTCATCATAT